CACTCATATTTGGTATATATTTTTTATGTAACTGATCATTTTCTCAGGTCAAAGTTCAGAAAAATCCAGTCTCAAAATAATTAAATTCCCCCTTTTTATCCTGCATTATTTTGCACAACAAATGATTTGAAATGTCAAATTTTCGTCCTTTTCTCTAATGTGTGGGGGATTAAGAAAAATCTGAAATGAACTTTTCAGTTAATACGAAGCTCATATAGAATTCCAATCATCTAGTTCTATACACCTGTACAAAATTGAATTCAATTTCTGTTGATCTCGTACAATGTGTCACGCCTGTGGACCTAACACAAGAGAAAACGGGGATTCGTGAAAAAAAAGTATAGGAACCCACAGAAAGTCTACAAATATAAATAGGGGAAAAAAATGTTTTATTAATTCAGTTGTTGAACCAAAACATTCGACAGCTGTGACAATCTTTATTGAACAAACTGACTTTGTTGGACAGACACGGGAGACCAGTTAACAGTTACAAGGTAAGACGAATTCCTAAACAAGAAATCTTACCAAAAATCATCATTAAAAAATCATTTTATAATATTTTGATCTTATATTTATTTTACTTACACTTTCCCTTGTACAGGACCGCCTAGCTACATGTATTTTGTATAAGTTAATTTGCTCCCATAAAATACACACCACAGGTGCTAGGCACTGTAACAATACTGGTGGTTTGATGCAAAGATTATACGATTTAATACCTCAAAAACTCACAAAAAAGTAACAAAAGGCGAAATATCAAACGTGCTGGAAGTCTTGTCTTACTTAGCCAACAGCTGCGAGAGCATTGATCTTATTGTTGTTTTTGACAGTGATAAATATACCTTACCCCCATAGATGATTTGCTATCATAGTGAGTACATTTAGACCTCCATCCCGTTTATATGTTTGTCAGCAAGGGAAAATATTATTCGTAAAGCATTCCAGGGAGCATACATGAGTAAAATTAATTCGTCTTGTATGTATAATGAATTTATACAAATTAGTTAAAATATGAAAATATGCAGGCATGTAGCTTCAGGAGGGGAAGCCCCCCTTTTTTCACACGTTTTAAGAATTCCGGTTGCAGCGGTGGATTTAAGCCCCCCCTTCCAATTGTCAAAGTTAGCGTAAGTCATAGTTTCGTCGAAAAATATAAAAATTTCTACTCGGCAGACCTCATTTTTACACTACAAAATCTCTAGAATCCAAGAGCTCTCAGGGGGGCGAAGCCATACCAGGGTAATTCATAATTCATTTCTATGTTTCAAGTCGAAGTTCAGTATCTCCAGACTCACAATGAATAATATCTTAAGGACATATTACGCAACGTATACCTTATCCTCTGATATTTTAAAAATATATTCTAAATTTAAAATTATAGCACCATTACATGTTCTTAGACCAAAAAAATTAGCATAAGTTACCAGGGGATTTGAAGAGATATCATATGGGGAAAATTCTCACATTATTCAAAGAAAAATCGACAGAAAGGATCACTTCATTATAAATAGGGATCTGACCTATAGGACCGGGCTTGGTTTTATTCTCTACAAAAAGCTTGTCGATTTCCGTTCTGATTAATGACATTAGGCTGAATACATATAACAATTTGTTTTTCCTAAATCTTTATTTCAGTGAGTAGAGATAGGAGGAACCCTTTCATTGATTTTCTGAGTTTGTTATCTCCAAATGTAATAATTGATATTTTTCTTTACTTCTCATTGTGCATAATGGTAACGTCTACTCTCTCTGAAATTTTATACTTTATGTCTAGGCTATTTATCCGTGGATATAATAAAACAAGCCATTAATGTGTGCAAATTATACAGGCCTAAATGAAATCCAAGGAAATCAGTTACTGAAATATGTAGCCAAAGTCAATGTGATTAAATTCTAGGGAATATACTAATGAAATTCATCGCAGCTCAACGCAGCCAAGAATACCTGTATCAAGTAACACAAAGTGTGCTATTTGTGTCCCCGGAGAAAGTGTGCTTATATTGTTCCGCCTGACTGACAACTTTACATTGGATTGTTACGATCTGATCTCTCTTTAGTGTTTCTTATATCAAGAATAGGCATGCAAAAAGGATAAATAATTGAAAGAAAATGCACAAGTCTATAAAAAAAAAAATAAAAATAGTCTTTGAAAAGGCGAAAAATAAAAACTTTAAAAAGTGTGGTACCAGGTGGATTCGAACCCCCGACCTTAAAAAGAAAGTTTCCACGTTGTAAAAAACTGAGCTAGTCTGACTCTATTAATAAGAGGTATAAATTTGAAGCAGATTATCAAAATCAGGTTTCCTTATTTTTTGTAGGTTTTTTGTGAATTTCGACCCTAGGGCAGGGGTGCCCCTAAAAAATTCCTATCTTAAATTATTCTTTATATCCCAACCTATCAAAATATCACAGTTTTATTTAGGGGCAGGCCTGCCCTGAAGGACTTCTAGGCCAAAATACATGCAAAAATCAACGCTTTAACGGACGGAATGGTGTTTTGGCCAACTTTGGAGGTAAATTGTAAAGTTGTAAATAATAAATATTAGGTATAAAATACAAATTTGAAAAATTTAGACATATATACGGTAGAAAACAACAAACGAAGATTCATTTTTAAATGTCACTTTTTCCGGGAAATTGTTTTCTCCTATAGGTCAATTCTTTTGTCATAGCGAATACATCCTTACTTAACATAAATTCTAGATATTTTTTATTCAAATTTATTTAAGAAGAGGTGTACAAAACTATATATAGACATTAAAAGTATTGCACACAAGTCTTTCGTTTAGTGGAACTGTTCAACTCCTGGGAAGAATCCAATAAAGTTCAAACTTTGTTGTGTATGTCCTTTAGTAATCATTTCATCTGATATTAGTCGACATATCTATTGATTTTAACGATATGTCGCATGAATTAAAATGAAATTCCTATAGATTTTTCGATAGATTATATTGAAAACACTTACTTTGAATCCCTACTGATATTAGTACGTATATGCATGTAGCATTTGTAGGGACGGACTTAGATATGGGGTGGGGTGGAAGATCTGAACCACACATAGTATTTTCTGAGTTATTAATTTCTTTTGTAAAAGCTAGTAACGGGGAAAAAGTGACAATATCCCCTTAAAAGATACACGGACCCCCCTTTTCAAACGATATTTGGTCTGTTATGCAGGTTTGGTGATTTTCTTTCTTAGCTGTCCAAGTCCCATTAAATTTAATTATGTTAATGAAGCTACTTTCAGTTTGAAAAAGATTGCTTGATTTCGAGAGTACTAAAGCCTTAAACGATTCATTGTAATAGAAGGAGACTAAAAAGTATTTCATTTCATGGTCTTAAAACCGGAGCACAGCCGGGCTTTCCCAACCCCCAACCCCCATAATATAGAAAGCGACGTTTTTTTCTTCTTTTAAATAGATGAAATTCCACAATAATATTAAAATTGCTTCCAAATGGCCTGTATTTTACTTTTCATCTCTTTAATTTAGTCTTGTTGTAAATTTTTTTATCACTCGGTCATCAAGAGTATTGATCTAGAGCTGAATTCGGAGAATGTGATCGATCGGGATCGGAATTCGAAAAATTGATATCAAAGTTCAGAGAAGACGGTCAGACGTTGTTGACATCTACTGATCCAGAAAGCCGGATTGTGAAGATGACATATGTACTTGATTTAAATTATCGTATTGATGAAAATAATATTTTTGAAACATCAAAAGATATAATAATGAAAGTAAAACCCAGTTGGAATCGCAGTAATTTAAATTTCAAGGTAAATTTATTGCAGGTGAACTTGAAAAGCGAAAGTGTGATCATGTACGTACCATGTGGGGCATGTACTTATCATGCTTATCTGTTAATCTTTATATGCATATCTAATGTTCTCGTCATCCGGTAGCTTTGCATATGTATGTATGGAACGCCATCACTGCCTTATAGCATAAAACTATGCATTCATTATGTCAATCTATCATAACGTGATGTGAACATATCTTTACGTTATGTCAATTTTTTATGGGGTGATGTAAAAATATCTTTACATCATGTCAATGCTGCATTACATGAAGTAAACACATTCTTCCATTATGTCAGCACTTTATAACTTGAAGTCGGAAGTTCATTACGTGAAGTGAAAATATGTTTACATTGTGTTAAAACTTAATTACGTGAAATGAATGTTTCTTTATATTATTTCATTTCTTTAATATGTGAGGTCAAAATTGCATCACGTCAAGTAAATTGTGTTTTATAATTAAACTTATCATTACATGAAGTCAAAAGTCCATTCCTTTTTGAGAGTGTATATGTCTATTATGTCAAAGCATTATTACGTGATATGGATTTATCTTTATATTACGGCGAGAGCATCATGATGTGAGGAGAACACATCTTACCTTTATGTCAGTGCTTTATTACGTGGTATAAAAAGTGTATAACATAATGTGAACATATCTTTATATTATATCAACACTTTATTACAATGTCAAAACTCCATTCCGTGATGTGGATATATAATTACGTTATGTCAACTCTTATGTGATTTAAAAAATATTTTTATATTGTGTTAACTCTTTATCATGTTGATTCCAAAAGTTCATTACCTGATGTGAAAATACATTTACATTATCTGAAAGCTGTATATCTATTATAATAATGAATGTTGACGACTGTATTTTAATGACTGGTAAGAGGGGGGGGGGGGCCCATTGAGTAGGACGAATAATTATAGACACATAATATCAGCTCCCCTCTTTTCCCAGACATAACCTTATTTTAGAAAATGTAATGTTCATTGAAAGTACAGCCCCCACCCCCACTTATTGTTGAAGTATAGTCCACTAGGGATAATGTAGTATAACTGAAAAAAATATATGACTAATCAAAGTCGGACCCCCCTCTCCGAAATAGGATTTTCGGTCTTGGACAAATTTTTTTGGCTTGTCAAGTTTTTTCGGGTAAATAATTTTTTTTTCTGGCTGACGTCCTCTTTCAAATAAATGCTATGTCACGGAATTAGTTACTGTAATTTTTTCAACCATTCCAAGACCAGAATTCTGTTATAAAAATCTACCAGTCCCTCATGTAAATCAGTTGAATATGCCTTAATAAGCATGCATGGGCACATATTTGTGGCGCATATGGGTATCTTGAAAAAAGAAGGGGGACGGTATAGAGTTGGTGACCAAAGGGGGAAAGCAGAAAAACTCTCCGGCAGGCTTTATAGTTTAAAAGAAAAAAAATTTCAATATAATTCAGCTAAACTTAATGTGAAAGTAATGCAATGTCCTACAATGTAAAACTAATAAATTTATTAATTTTATGTATATTTTGGTGACTAAAGATGGTAGGGCGGGATTTCTGACCCCCCCCCCCCCCCCCTTCCCCAAGCCGCCAGTGCACGTGTGTTATTCGATCGATGTGTTTACACTTTAAAAAAGGACAGTTAAAGACTGATGAAAAAAACTTATGACAGTGTTCTGAGTAAGATCAGAAGTTTAAGATTTTTATTAAAAAAAAAAAGCAATTCAAAACAAAAAAAATGCTGCACGACTCATATTTGATTTATTTAATTATCAGATAAAAGTAAACGCCATTGAATTTCGACGCGTGACTTTAATTCACAGTCGCAGTGTTAAGGCTTTGCACATTTCAAGATTGTTAATCATTTTTCGCTTAAAGTTTTTATATCATTTAATCGCTGAGAATTTATTTTATGACAGTTTTCTCTCCCGCCATTTTTAGTGCTTTCGGAATGCGGAAAATACGTTATGCTCATATAAAGGCCGAGGATACCCGTGTTCGCATAACGTAATAGTGAATCGACATAATGTAGAAGAGTGCGCACAGTTTGACATGAGCTTTTCACATCTGATATGAGATGAAATAGCCTAAGATACATGTATGCTGACAAGAGGCTTAGCATTTTTGACACACTGTAAAGACACAATGACATAATGTAATAACGATTTGTCAAAAAGTAAGGGCAAATTCACATCATGAAATTGATTCACGTCGTCATGTAGCATATTGAAGGCATAAAGTAGTAAAAGAATTGACCACATGTGACAATTTTTTCAGATCATGTAATGAAATTCTGACATCGTATTATAGCGACTTCATATTGAGTTAAAGATAAATTCACATCATGTAATGAACTACTTAGACCAAATAGTAGAGAGTGCACATAATGTAATAATGAGTTGAAAATATATAAAAACATTTTTACATCACGTAAAATTGTTTTGACTTGATGTCATAAAGAGCTGATATAATGCAGTGGAGGATTGGCGCAATGTAATTAAAGTGCGAGTTAATGCCATAAAGACTAAACATAATGTAATTGAAAGTTGACATAACGCAATAGTAGTGTGTGTAATTGTTATAAAGAGTTGACATAATGTAATGAAAGGTTGACACAATGCAATAGTAGTGTGGACTAATGTCATAAAGAGTTGACATAATATAATGGAAGGTTGACATAATGCAATAGCATTGTGGGTTAATGTCATAAAGAGTTGACATAATGTAATGGAAGGTTGACATAATGCAATAGCATTGTGGGTTAATGTCATAAAGCGTTGACATAATGTAATGGAAGGTTGACATAATGCAATAGCATTGTGGGTTAATGTCATAAAGAGTTGACATAATGTAATGCAAGGTTGACACAATGCAATAGTAGTGTGAGTAAATGTCATAAAGTGTTGACATAATGTAATGGAAGGTTGACGCAATGCAACTGTTGTGTTCTGTTATAAGGCAGTGACGGCGTTCCATATGTATGCTTATTAAAGTTGTCAGCAAGGCATTCAATATGATTATACCCCTAAATATTTTCATGGTACATGTGAAATGTTAAAATGGCAATGAAATAACTTTTAATTAAAACAGACTATGGTGGATGGAGTGATATTTTTCAGTACTAGAATTTTGATCAGATTAGAAAAAAAATGCAGAGATTTTTACACTACAGTCCACAATCAGCATATCTGTTTGTGGATTGATTTTTTTGTTACCTGAAATAAATTGATATGCATGAAGAGCATGGTAATAATTAAAGCTACAGTCATTTAATTGTACATGCTAAGATATATCATTTAATTGTAATGTATCTGAAGCTTCCCAATTTCAAACGGCTGCTCAAATTATACTTTATTTATATAAAATTAATTACTTTGTATGAGATTATGCTAAATAGTTGACATAGTTGACAAAAATTAAAATGTTCTCTTAAATTCCAGGTCTTTGATGAGGGTATAACAAATAAACTGTTAGGAGTTTTTCAAGAATCCAGTATAGGACAGGCTAAAGACGTTGTTCTCATTCGAGTGTATGGTGAAAAGACTGACTTAATCATTGACCGAAATGCAGAAAAGAAAAATATGGCTGAACTTTTTGAGGCAGGTCTGTGTCCACCATTGTATGCCACCTTTGAGAATGGTTTGGCGTATGGATTTGCTCAAGGAGTCACATTAGATGAGAAGACAGTGAGAGATGAAACGATTAGAAAGTAATGAAACTTGACAAACATGCAAAATTTTGAATAATAAATAGTTTTCTGTAAATACTACTATAGATTGCAGTTAAGTGTGAAGTTTTATGTTAGGCCAAGATCTAGTTTGACAGCTACGCTCAAGGTAAATAGTACACGCCTCCCAACCCCAAGCTTTACAACTGGAACTTTTTTCTAATTGCTGATTGGTTGCTCGTACAACAGACTTTTTCTGTGTCAATGTTGATAAAATGAGTTGACCGATCATGTTGACCAATCCCTGGTATATAAAAAATTACTATTTTCTTTTTTTAGCTCACCTGAGCCAAAGGCTAACGTAAGCATTTCTGATCAAAATTTGTCCGTTGTCTGTCGTTGGCGTTGTTGTTGGCGTCGTTGTTGGCGTTGTCGTTGTTGTAAACTTTTCACATTTTCATCTTCTTCTCAAGAACCACTGGGCCAATTTCAACCAAAATTGCTACAAAGTATCCTTGGGTAAAGGGGATTCAAGTTTGTTCAAATGAAGGGCCACACCCTTTTCCAAGGGGAGATAATTATGAATTAGAAAAAAAATAATGGCATTTTTAAAAAATCTTCTTCTCAAGAACCACTAGGCCAGGAAAGGTGAAACTCATGTGGAATCATCCTCAGGTAGTGTAGATTCAAGTTTGTTCAAATCATGACCCCCAGGGGTAGGGTGGCGCCAAAATGGCTGATCAAAGTTTAACATAGGAATATATAGGAAAAATCTTTAAAAATCTTCTTCTCAAGAACCACTGGACCAGGAAAGATTAAACTCATGTGGAATCATCTTCAGGTAGTGTAGATTCAATTTGTTCAAATCATGACCCCCTGGGGTAGGGTGGGGCCAAAATGGCTGATCAAAGTTTAACATAGGAAAATATAGGAAAAATCTTTAAAAATCTTCTTCTCAAGAACCACTGGACTAGGAAAGATGAAACTCATGTGGAATCATCCTCAGGTAGTGTAGATTCAATTTTGTTCAAATCATGACCCCCAGGGGTAGGGTGGGGCTAAAATGGCCAATCAAAGTTTTACATAGGAATATATAGGGAAAATCTTCTTCTCAAGAACCATTGAGACAGGAAAGATGAAACTCATATGGAATCATCCTCAGGTAGTGTAGATTCAAGTTTGTTCAAATCATGACCCCCAGGGGTAGGGTGGGGCCAAAATGGCTGATCAAAGTTTTACATATGAATATACAGGAAAAATTTTAAAAATTTCTTCTCAAGAACCACTGGACCAGGTAGATGAAACTCATGTGGAATCATCTTTAGGTATTGTAGATTCAAGTTTGTTCAAATCAGGACCCCCGGGGGTAGGGTGGGGCCAAAATGGCCGATAAAAGTTTTACATAGGAATATCTAGGGAAACCTTTTAAAATCTTGTTTTCAAGTACTTTAAAGCCATGCTTAGTGATATTTATAGGGAATCATCCTGAAGTATTGTAGATTCATGTTTGTTCAAATTATGACCCCCTGGGGGGTTTAAATTCAAGCCCCCCCCCCCCCCCCCTTCAGCAAACTTTCAGTTCTGATCTGATGTGTGATTTTTCCTAGCCAATTGCTCAGGTGAGCGATATGGCCCCTGGGCCTCTTGTTAAAAGAATGCTTTAATACTGTTTAATCTTGTATTTTATGCTAATTGTGTTATATTATTAAGGCATCATAGGCATACAATACAATAGCCTATGGTATATAAAACAAATGCAATACATTTACTATGCTTTGCGATAAATGATTTTGCTTTTGCTTGCATGCATTGTTAACTTTATTGAAAAAAATATGGAAATGACTTTGTGCAATAATTTTTGTAGACTTATTGCAAAAGAGATGGCAAGACTTCACACTGTACAGCCGAAACACATATCCAGCAAAAATAGTGCCATGTTTGACAAACTGAGAGAATGGTTTAACATAATTCCAGAAAGCTTTTCTAAACCAGAAATGAATGATAAGTATGTTAATTACTGTAAACCAACATTTATTCGCTAAAATAGTTTGCGACGATTAATTTTCACGATCAAGCCTATTTTGGATCTGTTGTTAATAGGCACATAGACTTTGAGGAACTGTTTGCGGCAAGAAATATTTGCAATGACAGAGCCCTCGCTAACCTCGCGAAAATGTTGGTTTACAGTATTCATCGGCAAAGGATTATTTTTGTCTTACTTTTAACATGACTCATTAACTTTTTAATCTTTTAAAAGTAAACAAAATTAATAAAACATTACATTTATTGTAAATAAAAACATGAATTCAACAAAAATTATGAATACTGTAAACCATCTTTTATTCGTGTGCGAGAAATTTTCACGAAGTTCGCGACAGCCTCGTCATCGCGAATATTTCTCGCCGCGAACCAGTACTTAAAGTACATCTCCGTCTATTTAAAACAGATCAAAAACGGCTTGATCGCGAAAATTAGTCGTCGCTAACTAGTTTACTCCTGGTTAATCGCGAAATAAAGTCGTCGCGAATAAAAGTTGGTTTACAGTATTTGGTTGTATGAATTATTTTTAAAAATTACTCTTTTTGATTTTGAAGGTTTAAGACAAAGATTCCATCAAAGGAAAAACTAGAATCAGAATTATTAGAACTAGAACAGTGCATAGAGGGCCTGGGCTACCCAAGTGTGTTCTCTCATAACGATCTCTTGCTCAAAAACATCATCTACAACAAAGAAGAAGGTAGCATTTGTAAGGAGATGGGCAAACATGACGAGAGATAAGCCCATAGCGCAACAAACATGAAGGCGAAAAATTAAATCTCAATTACTGTAGACGTACTTTTTTCCACGGGGTCATAATTCCACGGAATCTCAATTTCTGTTTAATCCGCGGGTAGAAAATTACGCTGATTTTCTTGACTGTCACTATATGCCTTACATTTATGTTATGTACGCTTGGACAAATTTTCACGGAAGATTTGTGACCGCGTACATAGCGTAAATTAATACCACGCGGAAAAAAGTACTTCTACAGTATATCAAAATTTTCCGTAAAATTTCATCTAACATTAAAGTATACTTTATGTAAAATCTCTACCACTCGCACAAATCTTATAACGATTGAATTTATTTGCCTTTGAAATATTATACACACACGAAAGAGGACAAAACGAGTCATTTTTTTCACACTTTAACACTATTTTTTGATATGAGTGGGTTTTCTCTCCATTTTTTTGACAGTTAATCCTCAAAGTTTGTTTACAAACATACATATTTTAGTTTCCAAAATTATGGAGCAAAGACCCACTATACCTTAAAAATATAATTTTATGACATAACTTTTGTATCTTTTCCAGAAATACTTGAAGTCCCTTAAGTCAACGGTCATATCACAAACATGATATAAATGTCCGAATTCATCAGGACTTTTGCAGTGTAGTGGTTAAAGTGCTAGTCTCAATTAAGAATGCAATTCAGGATTTTTATTGCCAGGGTTTGAACCCAATGGATATCACATTATTATTTTTTTATACAAGAATAAATTTTAACAAAAAATTTTACTCAAAACTTTTTGTTTATCATGATTTCATAAAAATCAACGATGGGAACTTTACTCGAAATACTAAATTCACACTTGGAATATGATTTTTATATATCTGAAGCTAGTGGGCTTTCTGCACGCTAAGTTCACCCATCTCCTTTGTTTAGAATTACATTTAATCAATTTTCTTACATTTCACAACATGAGGCTCAGTAAATTTTTTCTTAAAATTGAGAGAGAAAGGGAGAAGAGAATGGAGGGAAGTGAAGGGAGAGAGGGAGAAGGGGGTTGCCTAACATGTACATGTAGAAGAAAAACAATATTACAATAAGTAGTTTCTGCTTGTTAGAACTTTCAAGACATTCTTTTTTTACATAATCTGTACAAGTTGATAAGTCTATGATAAGGAACAGTTTTATGTTAAATTCTTTTATGTTGCAGGAAAAGTGACTTTTATTGACCAAGAATATGGAATGTACAACTATCAGCCTTTTGATATTGGCAATCACTTCTGTGAATATGCAGGTTAGTTATGTTTAGTTATGCCCTCCCTGTGGTGGAAACAGTTGGTCCTTTCTATGAGAATCGGTAATTATTTTATACAGACATTTTCATGTTCATCATCAGTTAAGACAATCATACTTTACACCCTTAAGCCATAAATATATGCCTGCCTGGTATTGTTGATGTTTCCAAGAGAATTGCATTCAAAAGCTTCTACGAAATAGGTGTTACACTGACACCCAGCTGGAAGTATATTCTTGTGGAGATATTTTGTAAGTAACAGAATGTCATTGTCTCCGAGACTTAATTATTAATAAGGGAATATCTAAAATCCTTTCATATCAAAGAGAACATCATAACAGTGTTAACACTTCCATAATTCACAAACCATTCGGTACATACTGTAAGGTATCTTAAATACTTTTCCTTTGACTGACTAAAGTACGTGTTGTGTAACATGTTTACCTGCCAAAAATAGATCCCTAAGTAATATTTCCTTGTGTTTTGTAATTCCAGGAATTGGAGATGTAACGGATTACTCCCTTTATCCAGAGGAAGCATATCAGTTGTCATGGATACGGGAGTACCTGGAGGAGTGGTCCAGACTGACCAGTGGCCCTGCAGTGACCGATACTGACGTCAGGAAAATGTACTGTGGTGTAAACAAATGTGCACTGGTAAAGGGACATAATGTTTGCTTTACGTTCAGCTAAGAGGATTTGTATTTCAATATTTTTATGCTGGGGCATATAGTGTTTGTCATGTCCGTCTTCCGTCCTTCCGTCTTTCCGGAATGCAACTATGCAACTGCATCAACATTATTTTACCTTGACCTTTCCTTTGACATTGACCTCACTTTTCCTAAATTAGTGTCAAACTTAATATGCTGATACATACTGATGTAAGCAATTCAACTGCATCAACATGTTTGACCTTGACCTTTCATTTGACCTTGACCTCAGTTATCTTTAATTAGTGTTTAGCTCAGTTTTAAAGATACCATTCAAGATATTTTTATCAAACTTCATATGCTATTAAATACTGATGAAAGCAATTCAACTGCATAAACATTTTTTGACCTTGACCTTCAACTCACTTTTATCAAATTGTGTTTAAGTCAGTTTTAATTAAAGAAATCATTCTAGATATTTTTATCAAACTTCATATGTTGATACATATTGGTGAGAGATATGCAACTGCATCAACAATTTTGACCTTGACCTTTCCTTTGACCTTGACCTCACTTTTCTTAGATCATTGTCAAACTTCATATGCTGATACATGCTGATGTAATCAATTCAACTGCATCACTATTCAAGATATTCTTATCAAATTTCATACACTAATACAAATATTCATGTTGCATTACTAATATACCCTCGGCAGGGCATTCATGTCCTATGGACATTATTCTAGTTTTTAAAATGACATTTATTTAAAGGACTTAAAGTTTGAAACTTTCAAAGCTGGGGTTTTTTTTTCAACAGAGAGCATTTTAACAGTCTGACCTCTCTGTTTTTAGGCAGCTCACTTCTTTTGGGGAGTGTGGGGAATCATCCAAGCCAAATTTTCCAGCATCGATTTTGATTATTTAGAGTAAGTAGTAATTCAGTTCATATGCCATTTAATTTACAATTTAGGCAAAATATCAAATAAAAAAAAAAAAAAATACTTTTCAAGTTTTTTTTTCCTTTTTGAAGCCTACACCTTAAATGAAAAAAAATCTATCACTTTAGAGAAACATGTATACATGTATTATCAGGTTTTATATATTTTGTTGCAGGTATGCTGTTATTAGATTAAATGAATATTTTGCAAGAAAGAAGGAGTTTCTTGCCCTTCAGTGAAAAATATTCTATTTGGATCATACCATGACCACCATATTTATACACCACTAGAACTTCTTGTTTTTCAAGCAACATCTAAATCATGTAATTGTTAAGTTTATAAGTGCCTTTGCTTTTATTTCTAGAATTTGAATTGTAATTATTTTTAAAATTTTATATTTATGATGATGACATTTTTTATGTCGTAAATAATCCACATAAAACTTTGGAGAAATCCCAAGAATGGAGGTTGAAAAACGTGTATATGAAGAAATCTCATCTCCTTTCGACATATACATGTACATTGTATTCCAGATATTGATGTTCAAGATACAAAGCTCAGAAATATGTTGGCAAATTTCTAACTTACAGTATCAAATTTAAGGTTAAGAGTCCAAGAATGTGTTCTAAAACACATTTATGATATACAATCATTTTTTTCCAAGTAAAAAAAAATTGTTTTAAATATTATGACATCTTGAGCTGTAGATTTTATTTCATGAAGGAATTTCCAGATATTTGAAAGAAATATGGTATATATTTTTATATTTTAGAAATAAAGCACTGCAAGAAACTATTTGCTTTTTGTAAGTGAAACAATAATTTCAATGCCTGGTATTTCAAAACAGACAATGAAAATTCACCTTGTTGAACTTACGTCATTTGTATAAGGATTAAAACTTTAAGTCTACAACTACAGTGCTTTTTATTTCAGTGTTTTTATCAAGAGTTTTAATATGACATATTGCAGTGCCCATGCAGTTAATATACTGACAATTTCAGCCATCTTCATAAAATTAATTCTACTGAAAATTATTGCACCCAGGGCTAATTTTTACCGATTTTCACAGCATATTAGAATTATGAAAAAAAATTCTTCTTTTATAGCCCTCCATTGTTAAGATGAAATATCATTAACTGTAAAATCACATATTTTTGTGGGGGCAAATTTTTCAAGGTCTGAGAAAAAAATTATTGATTTGTGGCGATTTGAAGTGTTAGTAGTGCTGCATATTAAATTTTACATTTTGTGGTGGTCATGAATTCATAGGTCTCTCCATACCTCGAAAACAATGAAAATTAAACACCCATGAAAATTTGTGATTTCACAGTTCATGTACTAAGTCAAAAGTCAAATCTATAAGATAGATATACGCAAATTTCATCTTTCATGACTGGTGGTTTAATGATATTTTGATATTGAAATGTGTATTGTGATGTACAATATGTGTCAATTCACACAAGTTTTTGAGAGAAACAATCTACAAATTAAGAAATCATGTATAGACAGAAAGACAGTGATTATGTTTCCACAAAATGTTAACATTAAAAATTGTTAACAATGTTAACATACATGTGTCTAAAATTTATATTCATATTATGTTAAGCATGAGATACTCTATAGTGAAAGTTAATGGATTATTTTCCTCCAGAACAATTTTAAAATTAATGTGTAAATTACTAGTTCACTAGTAGAGTTACTGCCTTATTATTGATATTATAGTTTTTTTTGTAAAATACACAAATTTTTTACTGTGTATGTGATCAGAAATGGTGAACTGAAGTTATTTTTTTCCATGTATATATGAGATGGCTTCCAAATCTTGAAATTCTTTACCATAGTTTTCAAATTGTCAAACTGTTGTACATTTTCACTTTTAAGACTTAGTGGGACCATAATTATACCACACAGGGTAAAATTATTATGCAATATAGGCCATTGAAACTTAATTTTTATTCTATTTCCATTTAAAAATTTTGATTGCAATTTTGATTTTAATTAAAGAATTTGCCAAACTTATGCCCTGTTCACACGGAGAGTTTAATTCGCAATAAATTAATGCGAAGTAATTTAAACTAATGCGAATCAAATTGATGCAAATTAAATTGCGTTCAAACGACAGTTAATGCGAAGTAAACTAATGCGAATTAAAATGTTACTTCTGCAGCCCGGCGTCAACATGGCTATTATGACGTCATATGCAAATCATGTCACCTTATGCAGACGCAGATCCATTTGACATAATGGCAAAGTGTCTGTATATACACATTTTAATGATTAACAAAATTTTCCTATGTTTTTCACTCAAAAATAGCACAAGTACCTATAGCTGACCACCGACAAGCAGCATTTGACTAAATTTTGCCATTATGCATGCGTCAGAATTTAATTTGAATTAGCTTCGCTTAGCGTTCACACGGAGCTAATGCGAAGTAATTTAATGCGCAGTAAACTAATTTGAATTAAACTAATTTGCATTAAATTCTCTGTGTGAACGCTAAGCGAAGCTAATTCGCAGTAACTTTACGTTTTTAATTCGAATTAAACTCTCCGTGTGAACAGGGCATTATATAGGACTTGTATAGTTACCCTAGTCGCAGTCATTACAAGGGATTTTTGTATTTATTAAATGTAAGCATTTTTTTTAATCCACTGTGATAAAAACAATAGCCTCTTGTGTACTCAGGGGCACAGAGAGGATATGTAAGTCAGTAAGGTGATACATACTTGTATTTTATGAAGTTTGTAACCATGAAGTTATATATTAATGACTTCAGCAGGGTTTTCAAAAAAAATTAAAAAGTGATTGGAGGTACATATGTACCCTGGAGCAATTGAAAAAATGTTATTGAGTTTTTCTTCCATGTATCAAATCTTTTGGTTGGTACAATCATCATTTCAGCCATGTCAAAATATTTATATAGGCAGATTTTAAAAGACCTGCTTAAGTCATTATGATTAATTGAACATGGATCTAGTTGTGAAAAATATTAATATAACTGTGATATTGGGGGTATTGTAACGACATTAATATTTACAATAAAATGATTGTCAATAAATTTGTTCTTTTTTTAATTTAATTCTTATTTTTATCAACCAATAATAGAGTACATTTATGCATTTACTTACGTTAAATGTACAATTTTAAATTAAAAGTTAAAATTTAAATTGAGATAAATAGGAAGTCACATGGTTTGTGTGTTTCCTCATGTCTGTTTTAGGTGGATAGAAAACATGAGTTGGATATTTTGAATGTGAAATATAAAGACTACAGCAAATGGGTTTCCTCTTCTAATGTAGAAGATTTGAATAAATTCTGTTTCATAGGAATATAAAAACAGGTCAGCTAATGAAGATCGAAGCACAATAAGTGCACATCAGAATTTCAACAATTTCTTGAGAAAAAAAATCTCCAAAGACTATTCTAAGAAAATGAAACTTTTTTTTTTAAAGAATGTGTTAAAAATAAACATCTTTCATCCTTTTCTTTGCATTAAAGCACGCTGATCTAGAGGGTGTTGGTGGAAGTGGGGTCAGAGGGTTCAGCTTTCTCCCTCTCTTAATTTTATAAAGCAGTTAAAATATCTTGGACCTGCTGATTTGGTTTGTCAAGATTTTTGGCTTAGATTTTACTGGAATGCACCCCCCCCCCCTTTTGGATCCTGGGTCTGCGCCTGTTCTAATGTTATAATTTAAAAACGGAAGAGTGTCATTTCAGTTTATATTTTCTGCATTGAATAAAGTAAAACTTAACCATGGTTGAGGTTTTTTTGGCAGGGGCGTATTCTATTAATCTTTCGAATCAGACGAGGTATGGGTTATTTAAACATTCTACAGATAGAGGGCGCTGGCCGAACAACTTCCTTTTTGAATGGGATGTTGAAGGTAAAGGTTTGCTGCTTGCAAAGCCTCTGATTTCTCTAGTAAGATGTCAATAAAATCAAAATTAAAGAACAAACAAAAGAAGAATAAGTATCAATTGATATATTCTCATTTTGAATAGACAAAAATTTCCCAAAGGAGAGCATTTATTCCTCATCAAGTTTATGTTCTTCTCTGTCGATTCGATACTGAAGTTGATTTTTTTCCCCCTTTTAGTTGTAGAATGGCTGGAAAGCATTCGATTTCAGAGTTCTACAATGGCAGGAGCATCTTCATCACTGGGGCCACTGGATTTATGGGAAAAGCCCTTCTAGAAAAGCTTTTGAGAGGATGCCCTGGAATAAAGAATGTTTACATTCTGGTCAGACCAAAGAGGGGGAAAGATGTCAATCAGAGACTCGAGGAACTCCTTAGTTCCAAGGTAAAATGATTCAGAATTGTCTTTCCGGCCCCATCTGGGTTCACAATGTAAATCTAGACACCTAGGCTCGACAGGAAATGAAAACATTGCCATAGGGACTTGCTTTTGGAGTGTAAACAGAAATATTTATCAAATGTGTCATACAACAAGTAACACAGGAAAGCACTGAATGCCGTTGGACACATACTTCACTTTAACCTCTGAAACATTTCTTTAATTGACAAAGCCTGGAAGGGCAAATTAAATTGGTAAATATGGGGAAATAAAGGGTAAAAAATTAATAACTATAACCACCAATTATTATAACTAACAAATAATCATTCACATTTATATGGAACATTAACAATCCTATTGAAATTGTTAGCTATATTAAAAGCTAGAATGTCAACCGTCAAAATTTGTAACTTTTTACAACCAATTCAATAATATTTTGCTTTGTTTCATTTTTTAAGCTGTTTGAGAAGCTCCAGAGACAGAACCCAGATTACGCTAAAAAGGTTGTAGCAGTGACGGGGGACATTCTCCATGAAAACCTCGGGGTCAGTCAGAGGGACGAGGAGATGGTGATCAACAACGTCTCTGTTGTCTTCCACTCAGCGGCCACGGTCAAGTTTGATGAGGAGATGAAGTAAGAAAACATAAGTGAAACAAATAAACAATAAAAATCAAACATTGGATGAAACACAGTATAGAGTGGAATTCTTTTGCTCTTACTGTTGAGTTAAATTCATTAAGTTGCTCAAAAGTAAATAATACTAATGATAATAATCAGTTGAATATGGCATTGCAATTTTTTTTTTTACAGATTATCAGTAGAAATGAATGTGGTAGGAGTCAACAGAATGATTCAGTTTTGTAAGAAAATCAAGAACTTAGAGGTGAATATTAATCTGTACTCTTTGTTTCTAGTAGTGATATAAAATTTTGTTTCTCCATCATCTTAAATTCTTAGAAAAAACTGATGGCAGTATTTATTCCATGTCTTGTAATCATATTTGTTAATTTTTTAGGCACTCTTACATGTTTCAACAGCATATTGCAATTGCAATGTAAAACACATTGAAGAGAAAGTGTACGATCCACCATTAGCACCTCACAAATTACTGGATGCATGCGAGTAAGTTCTTTCAGACAAATCATTCTTACTTTGTATAACAATATAATCATGAAACTTGTATGATTGCTAAAGTGATTTGTGAAAAATATACTTTCCTTTAAAATTTGGTATCATTCCATTGCATGATAAAAAAAATTACTGATGAAGTTTATATCTAATATTATTTTATTTTTGTAAAGATGGATGGATGGTGATGTTCTAAACACTCTAACACCAAAGATGGTAGGAGACAGACCAAACACCTATACTTACACCAAAGCCATTGCAGAATATCTGCTGTACCAAAACAAAGATGACCTCCCCATAGTTATTTTTAGACCCTCCATTGTGGGGGCTTCCTGGCAAGAACCAGTTCCAGTAAGTTACCAAGAATGTTTTGGATTTCATGTTGATATATGAAAAAAAGTAGACGGATGCAAATTTTAAATTGTTCATTACATGGAATTTTTTTGGGTTTACCAATATATATAACCAGATGTTTTAAGATTGAAAATTTAGAGTGTGGAAGATGATATCTAGTTAATTAAATGGACCATTTCACAATGTATAAATTTTCATGAACAGAATTGAAAGATTAATAGAGGAATAACTGACATACAAAATGTGTACATATTTCTTTTGTTTCAGGGATGGGTTGATAATTACAATGGACCAACAGGACTTTTAGCAGCTGTAAGTAGGAACAAAATAAATTTACTGCTGCATTCTGCCATTCTCATAAAGTGTTTAGATCTGTTTTGTGTCTTTTAATTCAGAAATTTTACAGAATTTGTACAAATTATTGCTTGATTAGAAAGATGGTGTATATATTGTTTAATTCACAAATCAGCAGTTCTTGGAGGCCTATTGCTCTATGCATAATATTACATGAAGGAACTTAATAATTTGTATAAAATTGATATCGATCTCGTTGAATCCTCTCTTCCACATACAGATTGGTAATGGCTTACTGAGGATCATGAAGGGTAACTTTTATGGAACTTCAGATGTTATTCCTGTTGACATTGCTTCTAACATGATGATAGCAGTAGCCTGGGATACAGTGGTGAACAAGTAAGTTTTGTGAAATCCACATTTAGTTTATTTGAACATTTTGAAGGACTTTTCATACTTGCTGTTTTGTATGGCCTGTGGAAGAAAGGCCATACATGTACGTACAAACATCCATACGACTAATCTATAAATCTGGGAGTCATAGGTTGAAGGAAGAATTCTGTAGACTTGGCTTTTACTGTTTGGGAAAATATAAAATTTTATTAAATGCAGACTGCTAATTTTGAATTGAATATTAGAAACAGTTCCATGGAAAACTTGAAAATTATGTTGATCATTAGAATGTCACTTATTTGTGCTACCATTGTATGTCATAAAACTTTCATTTTCATTTTCTTAGGTCAGATGAGCTACAAGTGTTCCATTGTACCACTGGACAACTAAACAAGTTTACTTGGGGAAATATGGGTAAGTTCCCAATTTTTCAAGATAAATTATATATTCCAAGATAAAATTTGAAACCTTAGCAAATCAGAAATTAAATTTAGCATAGGAATACTTTTGAAAGGAGAGTTACATGTTTTAGAATGTAAACACATAAAACAGAGATTCTTTAGACTTAATTGATAAACATGTACATGTAAAAGATTTTTTCTAACAAGAAGAAAAATGATTTGAGATTTTTTTATAACTATGGTCAGACTTATTTCATGCAGGACTTTTTAATCTGAAAAAGAAAGTCAAATTTAAAAAAAAATGGTTTAAATTTCAACTTAAAATAGAATTATTTGAAGTGTAATTTTCCTCTTCTTTTTTTTTTTTGCAGAACGCATGTCCTATGAATATTTCATGAAGAATCCGGTTAACACAGTTGCAAGGATTCCCAACCCTCGCTTTACAAAGAACTAGTAAGTGATGAACATTTGAATATCATTGTCTGCCAATTAGTAAGTGATAAACATTTTCAAATCATTTACTGTCAATTAAAACACAGAAAATATACATGTACTCTCAATATGCAACGTAAAGAAAGAAAAATTCATACTACTGATACCAGAATTTTTTCTGTCTGTGTTGTTCTGCCTAGCAAAGGAGATATTAAAGTAATGATTAGCACACACGTATTTATATTTAAAAAACCACTTAAAGATATTAAGATGATCATCTTGTCAAACAATGAACATGAGATGCAGTTTAACAAGTGTTTTGCAATGAACATTGGTAGACTTTCTAAATGTGTTGATTTTATCAATATTCATATTGTCTGATTTCAGTGTGTGGCATGAACTCTGTGTCTTGTTTGACCATGTCTTACCAGCCTACATTATGGACATGATGATGTGGGTCTCCGGTAAACGTCCCATGTAAGTGAAATGATATATACATGTACATTTATCTCAAACATACTGAAATAGTCAAAGGCATAAAACAAGTTTTCATTATTTTGTAGCTACATGCATATTTTATACAAGTGACTTTTTAAGGGTTATGAAATAAATTTTCAGAAGGAAACACTGTAGAAACGATAAATTCTGAGATAAAAAAAGAAGTTTGATAAAACTTGATTAGTATGATATGTATCTGTCAGCATGTGCCTTTAAGGTTAATACTGATATTGATGGTGTTTAGGTTTCTAGGTCATATGTTATCTTTGTTAAGTTTTAATAGGTCACATTCTATATAATGCATCCAAATGGCAAAGATTATAATCTGATAATTTAATGATTTCATATATGCACAATACAGGTGTTTGAAAATAAATATGAACTTGTGATTTTAAAATTAGAATGAAGTGTTTGTATTCTGATTATGAATTATATGATGCAGCTTCAAGGACAAAAACTCTCTCTTTGTACAGTTACAGCTATTTTTATAAAAAGTATAATTTTTCCCTATTTAATCCAAAAGAAAACTAAAATTTTGATAGACTGTTAGGTTATCTCTCATGACTGTATGATATTGTTTTCATTTAAGATTTGTGAGGATTCAAGACAAGCTAAGGAAGGCAGTCGGGAGTTTGGATTACTTCACACAGAATGAGTGGATCTTCTCCAACAAAAACTATCATGCCCTGTTAGAGAAGATGTCACCCGAGGACCGAAAAGTAAAAAAAAACTTTGTTATTTATAAAAATAAAATGTATTGAGGGTTTTGTGCAACTTTGCTGTATTGAGCAGCTATGCTGCAAGTATTAAAAAAAAGCCTAGAGAAAGTTTTCGTGTCATTATGGGTTGCAAGAAATCAGAAAAAATAATCCTTTTGTATAAACTGTATTATCTTTGCAACTGTAATATGTTGTTTATTTTCATAAAACTGACCTCTATTATAAGAAAATATGAAATGTTGAATGCATGAAGGCTTTATGCCGAGTGTTTATGCTGCTAAAGGTTTTTTGCTTGTCATCTTCTATATATTTGTTTACTTTTTATTATCAGGCTTTCAATTTCAATATAAAAAATATCCACTGGCCTACATACATGGAGTCCTACTGTTTGGGCATCAAACGTTTTGTTCTGCGAGAGGAGCTTACAGAGTTGTCAAAAGCTAGACAGACCCTAAAGAGGTAGAATATTCTTTATCTTTATCCATCCCTGTGTTTGAAATCAGTGATATGTTACACAAAATTTTGGGATTTCAATATACATGTATAATTGCAAAGCTCAAGATGAAAATATTAACTCCCAGGACTGTTTAGGGACTGCTATAATAAAGTTTGCAACATTAATATGAGTGCAAAAAATTTATTGTTTTTGTTTAGCAGTTTTTAGTAAAATTATTTCACGTTGTTATTTTTAGGCTTCAGAGGATAAACTTTGCAGTGAATGTGTTTCTGATCATAGCTGTGTGGAGACTGTTAATTAATCGTGTGTCCGTGGCAAGGAGTCTATGGAACTTCCTGTTGGGATGGGCCATCCGCATATTCAAGCGCATGCCCAAAGTAGTCAAGTCCTCATGATGAAAATCCATGAAACATTTTACAAGCATCTGTGATAATCTCTTTATAAACTTTAACATTATAAAACAAAATCGTAAGCAGTAACTGATAGGATTTAATGGTTAAATCCTTTGTGTTGATTTAATATATACTAGTATATTACCTCTTACAAATTTTTACTTTAAACAAAAGACAGAAAATGTATGAAAACCTACTATATAAAAATTTACGTTTTTGCAGGAATTGCAGGGAAATAAAGGTGTAAGAAAAACTGTATATTATTGTTTATGTCTTTTTGAATACTAGAATATTGTCTTGACATTTGCATTTATTTCATGAAGTCAATGAGGGAACATTAAAAAAATCTTAGAAGATCTTTTCAGTAATACTAAGGTACAAGTAATCATTGGTGTTCTGATGCCAGTGGGATCACCAATAATATCTAACGACTGTTTGTGATTGCAATGTTATGTACTTTAATTGTAAAGTTTATGACTTTGTTCACATTGCTACTCGAGTTCATTGGCTTTTTAAAGACATCGTACTAGTTACTGATCTAGAGCTGCTCATAACAATGACGAAAAAAGACGATGACAACTGATTATGCTTACAACTTTACAAGACAGACCTTCAAAATACACACTGTTATCTAAACCTTGTACAACACAGAAACATGGCTTCTTTTTAAAAAGGTAAAATAGGGCCGGTTAAGCAATCTAAACAGTATGTAGAAAGTGACAAACATATTGCTCTAGTTTAGTGTTATGCCTAGGTCACATTTAAGCCGGCAAAGTGGCAGAATCTTATAAAATTGTGACTCAATGTTGAAAATGTGTGCAAAATTTTGTATGGAATTGCATAATAAGACAAATAGTGCATATCTAATCAGCAAAGAATACTTAAGATTTCTTTATAGCTTACGGATTAATTATTAAGGTCTTCATGAAACTCTTTTTATTTTAATGATTAGTATCTGTAGTTGTGCAACTTGCATTTAAAATTTTCAAATAATCGTTTATTGCCATGGAAACCAGGGGAATGTTAAAATTCTTTAATTTCGATTTTCTCAATAACTACTCAAGCAATCTTTTTGAAACTTTCAATGTTAATTCCTTGCAATGTGTCAAAGTGATTTCTTCTTTTAAAATAATTGTAATGAGTCGCTCACAGTTGTCATAGAAACGAAACAGAAAAAAAGGTTAAGATGTACACATGTGATCTCCAAGGTCAAGTCAAAGGGTCAAAGTTTTTCGTGTCCAATAAAAGTTCTTTTCACAAGGATTACATATTTGGAATACGAAAGCCCTAGCCCTTACCGTTCAAACGTAAGGTACTATGTTCAAGACGACCCCCCCCCCCTTTGAAGCGCACTGCCAGGTAGAATACACAGACATAACATATACACTTTACAAGTGACCTTTTAAAAGTTTCATTCATAAAATTCAGTTCTCCTGATGTGATTTGATAGTTTGTCAACAGTCATTCTTCTTCTGTCTTGTCTCTAGATTTTATAATTATTTTATTTTTTCTATATAAAAAATAATGATTGTCAACTTCATTTATTAGCTTTTAGCGTTTTTTGGTATATTCATTACTTGTATATTATTAATTTCATTAAATAGTGCAAGAATAAATTAGAAAATTGGTACGTTATTTCCATAGTTTTTATTCATTCATAAATCTTTGGATCCGCTCCTATAGGTGCGCTACGCCTTGATCACTACTGTAAACAAAACATTCATCTCGCCGAAAATGATCATGATTCCGCTAAACTGAGAAAGTTTACACATGATTTATCATCTCATAAGAAACATCAGCCCTGTACAATCCAGAATTGAAGGTGGCATGTCAGATTTGTTTTCCGGCAGAACCTCTAAAAATTAAAGTGAAAGTAGGAAAATTTCTGAGTTCTCTCTGGCGTTATAATACACAAAATAATTCGACTGATCTTCTTAATAAATAATATTTGCCAAGCTTATTTGGTAGGAAAGATTCTGCCAATTAACAAGTATGAGGCTCAGTTCAGTACATCTGCCCAATTTCTTTTATGCAAGTCTGTAATTTTTTTTCCTGCACTACTTTCTTCCCCTACAGATTCTAAAAATAATGAGTGGGATGTACCCAATTAAGGTCTTCCGTTTCCAAAGAAAGAACTGATACGACTGGATGGTTGTCCAAGCTTAGCTAATGGACCATTGTTTTAGTGATGATAAAAATGAAAGTCTTGTCCAATACGGGGCGACATATGCTATTGCTTGCAATAGCAGACTTTCTAGTTATTATTATTATTATTATTATTATTTTTCCGTACACTAAATTTTGTGCACGCGATTTCTCGAAGACTACTGGGTGGATTTTCATGAAATTTACAGAAATTATGTGTTGTTACCTGAAGTTATTTTTTCCGAGAGATTTTTTGAAAATTCTCTTCTGGTGCCAAGTTACGGGACATTTTCTGAATTTAAAATGAAATTTTGTCTACGGTTAATCTCAAGAACGGTAGAAGATATCAACATGAAACTTTCAGGGATTATAGATCGTGATATTCTCTATCCAGGACGCGACCTTTCGTTCGTCGTCAATACTTCCTGTCGTTAGGAGATGCGAATTTAAAAAAGTGCATTTTCTAACTTTTTTGTTCTTCAATATTTTTCATTTATTTTTGGAATATTAATAGTGACTTTTCCATTGATGCTTACTATATAAGTTGTTTTAGTATTGGTTAATCTGAACTCTAGATATTAATATTTGAAAATCTGAAGCGGGACCAAGATGGCGGCTGTCTCTGTCTACTCCGCCATTTCGCGAGTATGGGTTTATGGAGGCAGCTGAGCGTTTGATTGAACCATTCTGACATAAGGATACATGAAATGTGAAAAATTACCTGGACTTTCACGTAGTAGTACGTTGCAATTGAGTGTCAATCTTGAAACTTAATTTCCTTTTCACTGCTTTAGTGTAACTGGGCTAGATACGATATGTAATGTGTACAATGTGTTAAATATACTTTCTTAACGTCGAAATAGAATAAACGCCATAAGAACGTTTTATTTATTTAATTTCATTGAAGCTATCACACCTATTTAAGAGATCAGTCCAAAGAAAAGGCGCGAATATTTACTCGTGGCGTTTAGCGCGAAATTATGAATAGTGGTCCGCTTTTTATAATTCTTAGACAAATGTACTGTTGCAAAAGTATACAAAAGTATATTTAGAGCAGTGCTCCAAATTATAGCATAATGGTATGCGCCTTAGGGATAAAAGAGAAAAAAAAGTGCATTCACGTTGGCCACCTGAGTTCAATCCTCCTTGTGACCAAAATTTTGAATCACTTTTCAGCTTGATTTTACGAGGTTTTTTTTCCTGAATCGGACGGAAGACCTCTCGTTGCTCGCAACGAGATCGTATCTAGTTATTATTATTATTATTTTTCTGACACGATTTCTCGACAACTACTAGATAGAATTACATGAAATTTTCAGGAAAGATGTGCTGTAAGATACTCTTCAAAGTTCTAAGACAGTTTTTGGAAATTCCTCTCTGGTGCCAAGTTTTGGACCATTTTCCTGATTTTAAAACGACATTTTGTCCACGATTAAACTCAAAAACGGTAAAAGATATCAATTTGAAACTTTCAGAGTTTATAGATGATGATCGATACTTTCCAGGACGCGACTTTTCGTTCGTCGTCAGTACTTCCTGTCGCTACCGGAAGCCAATTCAAAAAGTCCAATTTTTCAACTTTCGTTGTTTTTCAATATTTTTCATTTATTTTTGGAATATTAAAAGAGACACTTCTATTGATGCTTACTATATAAGTTGTTTTAATATTGGTTAATCTGAACTCTAGATATTAATATTTGAAAATCTGAAGCGGGTCCAAGATGGCGGCTGTGTCTGTCAACTCCGCCATTTCGCGAGTAGGGGCTTATGGAGGCAGCTGAGCGTTGATTAAACCATTCTGACATAAGGATACATGAAATGCAAAAAACTACTTGGACTCTCACGTAGTAGTACGTTGCAATTCAGTGTCAATCTTAAAAACTTAACTTCCGTTTCACTGCTTTAGTGTTACTGGGCTAGATACGATATGTAATGTGTACAATGTGTTAAATATACTTTCCTAACGCCGAAAAAAAAGATGATAAGAATGTTTTATTAATTAATTTCATTGAAGCTATTGCACCTCTTTAATAGATCAGTACAAAGAAAAGGTGCGAATATTTATGCGTGGCATTTGACACGAAATTATGAATAGTGTCCAGCCTTTTATGATTCTTAGACAGGTGTACTGTTGCAAAAGTATACACAAGTATATTTAAAGCAGTATTCCCAATAGCTAAATGGTTTGCGCGTTGGGGAGAAAAGAGAAAAAAAGGCGCATTCACGGTGGCGACCTGGATTCAATCCTCCTTGTGATCAAAATTTTGAATCAGTTTTCAGCTCGATTTTACAAGTTTTTTTTCCTGAATCGGACGGAAGACCTCTCGTTGCTCGCAACGAGATCGTATCTAGTTCATGTTATTTCCGTTCAAAAAAAATTATAACAATCCATGCATAAAAATTTTGTTTGTGTTATGTATCCTTATAGGTTAAATATCCACAAGTCGGCCAAACGTCGTCCGATCATCGAGCTCTGAGCTACAGTTTGATTTTAAGCGTCGGCCAAAATTTTAAACAACCTTATTGTCCAACGACGGACGACCGATTTAATAAACTGACCACCGATGGTCGAACGATGATCGACGGTTGGTCGACTGATAGCTTCAATCGAAGGAATCGGCCACCGACGCATAAAAAAATATAACTTGGACCGATAGACACAAAATTGGTCGGCCGACAAAAAAGAGGTCAAAATCGGGCAAGACAACGGCCGATGAACTGACGACTGTCACCGGAAGGATCCCATATTTGCTTCAAAACCCGTCGGCCGTTGGTCGTTTTTGGAAATGTGACTGGGATTTTAGTGTCATATTCAACGACAGCAAACGTGAAAAAAACTCACAAGAACAACAAGATGAATTTCTGAAACACTGATCATGCGCGGATCTAGGGCGGGATAAACCTGTGAAATTTGAAAGCCTTAGCACCAGCTGTTCAATAGTTACGGCAAAGGATTCTCAAATATAGGCCGAGCACTTAGGTCATGATGATCAAAATATTGA